ACACACACACACACACACACACACACACACAGACACACAGTGACGGGTCTGATGTACGCGTGCGTGTCGGGTTCTCTTGTTTTGATAAAGAGTTAAAACGTCGTCTCTGTCTCCGTCCGTCTCTCCAGGAGAAGGTGTTGCTGTGGTTACTTCAGTTCATGCAGGAACAGGCGATCTCATTGGACGAAGTCGACCAGAACGGAAACACGGCCGTGCACGTTGCAGCTCAGTACGGACACCTCACCTGTATCCAGGTGAGCAGTTTCCTCTTCATCACAATGTGTTCTACTCTGAAGTTCGTTCTCAGGAGGTCAAGTGTTTTTTGTTTTGTTTTATTGCTGGTAGGAGGTACTTCCTGTTGCAGGATGTTATCAGTCGTGTCTGCTTCCTGTTAGCTCGCCAGCCGCAACAATCAAAACACTAAGTGTTAATGATCTGCTGTAGATAAAACAACCGTGTGTGTTTCCAGACTCTGGTGGAGTACGGCTCTAACGTGACGGTCCAGAACCAGCAGGGGGAGCGGCCTTCCCAGAGTGCCGAGAGGCAGGGACACACCACCTGCGCTCGGTACCTGGTCGTCGTGGAAACGTGCATGTCGCTGGCCTCGCAGGTCGTTAAACTCACCAAGCAGCTCAATGAGTAAGTTACAGTCTGTGATGCCATTGGTTCACGTTTGACTTAGTGACACCGGCGACACCCAGTGGCCGGAGGAAGTACTGTATGTTTTCAGGTTGTCCGTTGGTCCCATTGTCGTGAACACAATATCTTAAGAACAGCTTGAGGGAATTTCTTCACACTTGGCAAAACATTTCTCTCAGACTCACGGATTAACTGATTAGATTTGGGACAAAGCCTCTTGGTGAATGACTGTAGACTGAAACTCCACGTGTTGGTGGAGACAAACAACCACAGGGCGCTGATTCTAGGTTTTCATACAGACAAGCAACAGAGAGGATGACTCTACAGAAACAACTGCAGAGGCTGATGGACCCCAACAAGGCAGAAGGAACGCCCTCCCGATCTCCCAGGTAACACACACACACACACACAGTTTGGAGTTAGACTAATTTCAGGATGCTGGGATTAGATGTTTCTACAGTAACACACGTGTCTGTGGATGAGAAGAAACACAATAAGAATAAGACCTGATTTCACTAATGAATAAAAATCTACGTTTAGTCGTGGAGAGGTTCGCATTGTTTCTCGAATGTCAGTGTTGGGAAAACAGCCACAGTCGCCACCACAGTATTTTGTATGTTCTTGTTACGATGATAATCCAGTGATGAGACACACACACACACACACACACACACA